CATGTATACGAAATGGAACACATTTGTGTGTGCATTGAAAAACACAAGTGTGAATCCTTTTGCGAATCATGAAATATAAGTGTGAATCCTTCTGTGTGCATGTGTGTATTATGAGACTGTTCTGAGCCCATACAAAATGGTTGAAGACAGCAGAGCATGGTGCAGGAACTGAGGGGTCATTTGCAGAAGCAGAGATTTGAGCTCTTGTGGAGTTTACCTTGTTAATAAAAAAGTAAAGAAAGTCTTCATAACGGTAGTCTGGGGGGCATTAAGGACCACATCAATAGTCTGAAACAGAACACGTGGCTTGTGACGGTTTGACAGAAAGTTGTCAGATAAATGTTTGCATTTTGCCTCTTTCACAGTGATCTGATAGACGCCAACACTCCCTCAACATTTGAAATGAAACTTGCAGTTTGTCCTTTTTACATTTACGCTCAGCTCTACGGCAATCCCGTTGGACAGTCCGAGTCATGTCATTTAACCAAGGCTCAGATATAGTTTTAGATTGCCTGGTTTTTAAAGGAGCAACAGTGTCTATGGTAGCTTTGCAAGTCGAGAGAAACCATGAGCTAAGCTCATCCGTTTCAGGTGACATAGGTTCATGATTAACACAGTTCTGTTTAAAAGTGACAGAGAACTGACCAGCAGTGGATAAATAAAACCACACATGGGGTAGAGGTGGTGGGAGAGGTAACAGTGGGGAATGGTCCGGGGGAGGGGTGCCTGACTGGTGAAATCTGTTAAAGAAAATGTTCAGGTCGTTTGCCCACTGTTGATTCCCCTGGACTTCGGAATCTGGCTCCTTGTAGCCTGAGATGGTTTTCAGGCCTCTCCAGACTCCGCTGACGTTCCTCTGCTGCAGCTGTTCCTCCATCCTTTTCCTGTAGCTGTTCTTCCCCTCTCTGATTCTCCACCTCAGCTCCATCTGCACAATCCTTAGCTCCTCTCTGTTGCCTGATCTAAAGGCCCTCTTCTTGCCCTTCAGGGTAGCCTTTATATCAGGGGTAATCCAGGATTTGTTGTTGGGAAAACATCGTACAGTCCTGGTAGCACAACATTATCCACACAGAAGTTAATATAATCTGTATTGCAGCCCGTAATGGTGTTGATGTCGATGTCCTCCCCATGAGAGTCAGTGAACAGATCCCATGCAGTAGTTTCCAAACAGTCTTCGTTTTTGAAGCTGCAGCGTTTTCCTTTCGGCCACCGTAAGAAACTATTGACTATGCGACAAGGAAGTTGTGAACCACTCCACTGTCAATGTGTCCATTAGTTGACTTTTTGTGTATGTATCATCCTTCAAAAACTGCTTCATACCAACAGAAAAGCCCTGAAGTTAAAAGAAATAAACCAGTTTCAGAGAACAATCTACAGCCCAGTGCTGCAGTCCAACAGCTCCACATAGCAGCATCGTGATGAGCAACAGAGATGAATGTGTCATTTAGCTGCTGCTCTTATTAGGTCCTGCTCGTTGTCGATCATCACCATTACCTGCAGTGCAACGTGTCCCAATGAGCGAGAGGGGGTGGGGACACAATGTGTGCAAAACCCTTCAACTCTGTGCTGGTGTGTGGATATGTGTGTGTGTTAGTGTGTGTGTACTGCAACATTGCTGTCTTCCTGGGCCAGCTGGGGAACATCAGCGTGTTTGTGTCGGTGGAGCATGATTGAGATAGTGTCATCCCGCCTAGCCTGGAGCCTAAAGTGCATTATGTTTATGTCACACCATTATCCTAGACATTTGGCATATCTGAAAAGGAACACTGCCTCCTTTCCATTTCTCTCTCCCTCCCTCGCCTACACTGAATAGTTCATATGTTATCACTTGAAAGCTCTGTTTCAACATACCCCTGTCTTCCTTAAATCACCAGGTTCTAGCTTACGGCTGCACTTCTGATCCCTTTAGATCCTCCAGCCCCTTGTACTCAATGTAAACTACACCACATCTTATAGCTTTCCCATCACTCTTTACTGTTGATTTGTTATATGTTTTTTACAAATCAACAGTGAGGAGTACAGTATTTCATATTCTGCTAGAGATGAGAAACACATCATGAGATTTCATTTGTATTACAGTCACTTTTTGTGGTCAACCTTACTATATACAGTATCCACCTGATGTTAAAACATTTAACCCAGTGCTTTCAGATCCTTTCTTCTTGGAACTAATCCTAGATGAAGTAGTCCCCAGCTGGCACTGTTCCATGTCAAGGGTTGGAAGGGTTACTTAAGAAAGATATCCCATTAAAATGACTACATACCTGTAAACAAATGTAATCAGTAACCTAATCTGAGTATCAGAATGTAAAAGTAGTATAACCTGATAAAGTTCTGTTACTTTTGGAAAACCTTAATATCAAATGCAATCTCAATACAAACAAGATAAATAAATAACAATAAAATGAGAGATAAGATGTACTGTTAGACAACAGAACAATGTGACTTTAGAAAAGAAGACAACAATATATTTAGTGTCAGACATGTGTCCTCTGCTCAGAGATGTTATTGATAGGAAAAGCTGCCTTTCATGAAGCATATTCAGGCAGCAGCCTATACAACAACAATGAAATATATGAGCACAGACTATAGTTTAAAAAAGCAGAAATAAAATCTGAGTTTACAGAAAATGCTCTGTTTTAGTTTAATACACACAGTTAAGCTCACACACACTGTTTTATGAACATACAGGATCACCTGCTGAATTAAAAACAGAACAAATTAACAAAATAAATTGAAAACCATAAAGCAGATTCAGGCAGTTGGCGTCATTTCCAACACAATATCAAAGCCGTTGACCAATCACAACAGAGCCGGAAAGCTAACCAATCAGAGCAGACTGGGCACTGGTTTCAGACAGAGGGGGAAAAGAGGTGCTGCAGTACAGGCAGTATGAGAAAAATAAAGAGCTTTTTGAACATTAAAGCATGGAGACATGTCCCAGTAGAGGCACAGAATACAAACATGAACCTAATACTAAAGTATCCCGGGTCGCCGAGGATGCTGGCGTTGTTTGTTTGCCGCTCCTCCGCCCCAAATATTGTTCTTTAGTCCAGATCAGAACCTCTCCTGTCTGGCTCTCTACTTTTTAAACGTCAGTCATCAGCAAAAATAGCAGCATCTCTATATCGAATCGACACAGATCTTTGTTTTGTCATCTCCTACCTGCTGGCTCTTTCCTGCTCACCGGTCCCTAGCCCGCTAGCTAGCTAGCANCATTGTACGTGATAGGCTAAGGGTCGGGACATCTCTAAGCGGTTGACCAATCACAACAGAGCCGGCCAGTTAACCAATCAGAGCATAATGGGCTCTGGTTTCAGACAGAGGGGGAAAAGAGGTGCTGCAGTACAGGCAGTATGAGAAAAATAAAGAGCTTTTTGAACATTAAAGCATGGAGACATGTCCCAGTAGAGGCACAGAATACAAACATGAACCTAAGAAGGAGCACAATATGTCCTATACTCTAGGTGTGACTAAAGTATCCCGGGTCGCCGAGGATGCTGGCGTTGTTTGTTTGCCGCTCCTCCGCCCCAAATATTGTTCTTTAGTCCAGATCAGAACCTCTCCTGTCTGGCTCTCTACTTTTTAAACGTCAGTCATCAGCAAAAATAGCAGCATC